GAGCGTTGCGAACATTAAGTTTTGTTCACGTGCTGCAAGCGAACGCGAGTTTGCATCAATGTTTACGTCATGTTATGGCATGTAGAAGATGACACAAACAGCGCGCGGCAACTCTGCCACCGGCGGCCTAAATCACCGTCATGACGTTTCGTAACACACACAAAGGCATAAGCTCATATCCGATTACTCGAGCCTTCAGCTCAAAGCACACGAATATGGGCTCATGTTTTGTGTAATGCGTGACGTCACAACGCGACAGCGACTTATGCCTCCGGCACACCAGCGCGATATCCAGTGAGTGTATAGCTTTACCAATATTCTCATTTTAAAGATATACTGTCATTGAATATCGCATGTCGCGCGCGACTAACATCGCGCTGGTGTGCCGGAGCCATTAGGCTAGCAGCCGAGCCGCGTGCCATTTACGCCCATTCCCTCCACATGTAATGTGTTGTAAATCAGTGATGCATATTGGGCTTCGCACAACACACAATCAGAGAATCAGTCCCTCCACTTTTGCTCCACCAATTGACGCCACATTCGGTTAGTAGAGAGCGGCGTCAATTGGTGAAGCAAAAGTGGAAGGGCTGATTCTTTGGGTTGCACGGGGTCAAATATGCATCACTTGTAAACAAGCGCGAAATGGCATCACTTATGGCTTCTACACACTAGACGTAGAAACTACTTCTTGCCACGTGGCAAATGTGACACGGTAACCAATAAAAGAGCTGTAGCTTATTGGCTATCGCATCACATTTTACTGCGCGGTAAGCGTTTCCACGTTCAGTGTGTAGAAGCCATTACACAGTTTGTTAGTTATCTCTCTTGATCACAGTTGTCAGATCTTCGATTTTCGGTCAGTAATTACAGTTTTTTAAAACTAATCTTCGGTTCCTTGGCTGATGGAAAATAGACGCTCTTTTTTACGTTTTTTGAAAAACGTATTATAACATAATAACTATTTTGAAAGTAGCAGGCAATCTTCAACAAGATAAATGAAATTTCTAGGTTTTAAGCCGAAAAAAAACTGACAACCGTAATTTTGATACATTGTGGAAAAAACACCATGGGTTTCAGCAAAACGCAGCACAGTTTTACAATTGTCTGCTGATATAAGACCATTCTTCTAGATTTAAAAATATAATCGAAGAAAACTAACAAATTTGCAAAATATATATTCTGCTGAACACAGCCTATGTCCTAATATTGTACATCGTTAAACGTCAACGTTGTGTGAACATCACTGGGCGTTTTTAAGTTGACAAAGTAACTAGCCTGCTCGCCGAGCAAATGAACATGATTGGTTCTATTTATCGATCCAACTAATCACATTCTATTGCACAACGAGCAAACTAGTAGCTTTGTCCGGCTTAAACGCGCTCAATGACTGAGTCCAGCAAATTCAATAGTTGAGTGAGGGCTTGCAGTTATTGATGTATTCTTCTAAATCTAAAGTCTGATTGGATAATCTAGAACAACATACCAGTAATAGCGAACGCTTACTCAACTGTTGAGTCTGCTAAATGCAGTCATTGTATCAGGATGCTAACTCATTTGGGCATTTTTACGACAAATGTGTACAGAACAGAGGTCTTCGGATTTCTCTATTCCATAGTCAATCAACAGGTTTGAAAAATTTGTCGTGTGATAAAAACGCACAAATAAAATATCACCCTCAGTTATCAGTATCTATGAGTGCATTCAGAATTACAACTACTCACTAAGCGCTCAAGCTGAGTGATCGTAGTATCGTATACATCCTATCAATTGCCGCTTTTTCTAACATATGCGCGACGTTTTGGCAGCGAATCCAGCAGGTCTATTCTGCTGGATATAACTTTTAATGAAGTTTTGTTATCGTTATCGCATTTTTGCCATCATATACGCATCATGTACACCATCATATCTTTTTCGCCGTATATCTATGCGTTAAAATAATAACAACATTTTAAGGTTGCGATGGAAAAAGAAATAGCGGAACAAATAATAACGAAAAGGAAACATAGAAGCTAACTAATCAGAATTCCGTTTTGCTTTTTCATCCTCAGGTTCCCCAGAGATGTTAGATTTGATACGGGAGTCACGTGAGTGTCAAATAGAAAGATTTTTTAGTTTTTTTACTTGGTAATACTCTATATCTCTTAGGTATTTTGTATTGAATGATCATCACTGACATGGTATCACGTTGAAGGATTTTGCATTTACATATAAGCGGGAATTTGCTTGTTATGCAAGAGTGTAAGAATTTTTTAAACTGTATATCGCTGAGGATGGCCCCAAATGCGTTCGAGTTTTGAAGCAAGCTGAATATAGTTATATTTAATTTTAATTAATTGTATGTTGAATTTTTTTTGTGAACTAAGTACCTAATTTTTTTTTTTTACAAATTTTAGTACAAACGATGTTCGAAACCAACGGCAAACATGTCGGCTCATAAATTTGCTTTGTTATTGGGTGTCAATATCCAACTAAATGAGAAATTATTGAAAAATGTTGAAAATTATTCGTTATGAAATAATGTCGAATCAAGTTTTTAGATTTTATAAATCCGTTTTCTATTCGTAATTCGCTTGAATAAATAATTACGGATTGGCTATTTGGTTTCTGTATCTCACTCAATGTGTATAGAAATAAAATGTGTGACCAGTCCGTTTGAATCCGTAATTATATATTGTCATTTATTTTTGATATTATACCCAATGCATAATGTAATGAATGTGTGACTAAGGGAGCGTTTATACTGGCCGTAATCGTACGCCGTAATCTGTAAGAGTTGACCAATTACATTCTCTCATTGATAGTATTCTCTCATTCGACTGTGTAAGAAGGGAATACTCAATTGATTAGTCAATTCTTAGGAATTTCGATTACGGCCAGTATAAACGCTCCCTAATTCATTTGAATTTATTGTGTGATATTGAAGAATTGTCTAACAAGGGAGACCTAGAAACTCTCAAGGGAGAGTCTGGTAAAGCAATGTTCAAGTTTGGATTGGTGCAGCCATTATGCTGCAAAAATTGTCATCCTTATTTAATGTTTGGTAAATAACAAGAATGAAGTGACCTGAGTGTCATTCGGGTGGAAATCTGAACATAGCTCTAAAAATGCTTTATTTTAAAATTTACTATAAAAATCACCAGTTTGCATTATCATGGCGAACGTTTTCTCCCTTGATGGTCTCTAGAGAGATCCACTAGTCGCCGATCTCGACAAGTGGTTATTAAAAAGCACGCATCGAGATGATATACATGAATTGTTGCTTATCGAACAAACCCCGTGTGATATACAGAGTGTGCAACATCACGAATCCATGGCAACAGAGTAATTTCTAGACAACCCTGGCCACGATAGGTGCAAGTTATATCTGTGAGTCTCCCTATCGCCTTGGATCCGTAATGTTATACACTCTGTGTACAGTACTAAGGTACTTTGTTTAGAAAGCAACGATTCATATATCTGTAATCACCTCGGTACATATTTTCCAATAATACATTACTTGCTGGAATCGCAGATTAGCATATTTTCATTTCTGAATCTATATGAATTCAATCCGTATGATTCATATAGATTCAGAAATGAAAATATGCTAGTCGCCCGTGATCCTAATAAGTGATGTATCGTTGGAATGTACGCACCGAGGTGATTACAGATATATGAATAATTGCTTCCCAAATGATTCCAGTATACTATATACTGGAGTGTACAATATGGATCCATGGTGACAGGATGATTTCCGAATAAAATCTGCACTATCATAGCCAGGGTTATGTCTAGAAATCATCCTGTTGCCATAGATCCGCAATGTTGCACACTCTATATACCACACTGAAATTTTGTTCGGCAAACGATACACGTATATAACCTTGATGCGTGTTTTTCAACAATATATCACTTGTCAAGATCGGTGATCAACAACAATTAGCGAGTTTCCCTTGTTAAACAATTCTTCAATATCATATGATAAATTTGAATGAATTAGTCATACATTGATTATGTTGTGCCAATGGGCTATTTACTTTCTGTATCTCACCTAATGTGCATAGAAATGAACGACTAATCCAGTTGAATCCGTAATTACATATTGGTCATTTATTTTTGGTATCATACACAATCCACAGCGTAATAGAAAACCGATTTATAAAATCCAAAAACTTGATTCGACATCGCTTCAATGAATAACTTTCAATATTTTTCGAAATTTCTCATTTGATGTTCCGCAGCTTCGTAATGCCATCAACTGGAAAGCAATATAAAAATACAGGATACAGTTACACGTGTATAAGTGCTTGTTCCAATACAGAATTTGACACGTTAGATAATGTAGAAAATGCGATGATTTTAATAATTTCATAATCTCAAACCGTGCTTCGTCCATATGTACGTAACATAGCACATGCATAAAAAATAAATTTACATTTATTCGTATCTTTCTCGATTGTAAGATCATTGTTTCTCAAATCGGATTATCACTATATTTTATTATTTAAATGTATTCTCATATCCTGCTGCGACTGCGAAAGAATAAAATTTTACGATGATGAAAATCCAGGTACAAAAAAGAAACCGTTCTAATTGGTTAATCCCTTCCCTGTTTCCTTTCCGTTACTATTTATTTCGTTCCGTTATTTCTTTCTTCATCAGGATATACTCTAAGGTCGATATTTCATGTGTTGTACGATACATAAAATATCGGGCTAATTGTAAGATCCTCTTTCATTAACTTTTGGTTGCATTTGCAGAAGTGTATAGATATACATCTAGTATACATCAATCTAATGTATAGGTATATATTTTATTAATTTTAAAAAAAATTTTAAAGACATAAATACAGAATGCTAGAATACCCCTTTTATAGCAATTTTTCGCGATGTTCACGAAACATTGGCATTTAATGATGTACGAAGATACGGAGATAATTAGTAAATAGCGAAACTTCCTTGAAAGTAACAAATAAATTTTTACGTATACCATAATTATCCATTGTAATGTGTAATATATACCTGAAAATCGGTAGTGAATGCTTCTGGTATAAAGTTATGCCTCTGCATAACCTGGTACAACATTTCATGCGTTTCTACGGCAGGTTTGATGTCACCTTTAAGAACCTACAAGAAAATGAATATGTAACACAAAATGAATATGTATATTTTTTTAATTAAAAAATTTCAAGATTGCCACAGATTCAAAAACAAAAAGGAAAATAAGAAAAATCGGGAAGTCATGGAAATTTAAATTGGTCATGAAAAAGTTAAAAGAGTCAGGGAAAAATATAAAAAAGTCTGGAATTTTTTTTGAACTTTGCTCAATTCCTTTAAAATGCTTTTATTCCAAACAATTATTATAATTTTTTAAAATAATACATCTAAAATTTAGTCAAATATTGATTTTCTTAATCAGTTTTGCAAACTGTATACTAGGCCATGTAGTCAGTTATTATGTAAAAAGAAATGTAATTCCTTTTTTTACGTATAGGAATTAGACATCTCTCAAGTTTATTTTTTATTTTAATTTTCATACAATTTAATACAAAACTTAATTCACTTTAATTTAATTTTGTTATAATTAAGATAAATATTTTATTAAATATATTTTACTTTAAACTGTAAAATTTAAAATTAAAATAGTCAAAACAATTTTAATAAAATAATTGAAATTTGTTATTCAATATTTCATCAGTCTTTTCCGTTATAACTGTATTCTTTTTTTCATTGCTCATTTACTTTTTGTTGGTACAAATTTATATTCAAGATTTCGTTATGCTGCTAAACTTCTAAATGCATATTGTTTTTAATAATGTAAGATAATAACTTTCTTCCAATTCCCGTTTCAAAATGTTAACATTTATACATTTGATATTAATCATGGAAAATTTTCCATTGTCATCTAGAAAACTTAGAAAAATCAGGGAATTTCAAAATTAATTTTCTGTGGCTTGTAAAAGCAAAATTAAGTTATACCTGCAGACCTGGCCAAAAGGCCAATAAAGCGTCCATGAAGTTTTTGGAGTTGGTATTCGGTCTATGCATATGTACATCCAATAACATGGGACCCTGACTAACATACTTCATTACGGCTTGATAATGCTTGTTAAAACGGCCCAAATATTTTTCATCACCTATATATAACGTAAAATATACAGATGCCTTATACACATAAATCATAAAATATACATTTTATTCATATGGGTTAATGACAGAAAATGAAATGTATAATTTTAATCGTATTGCACACTTAATTTGTGCACACTTTTTTTTATGTAGACGAATTTCTGAAATTTTGCAATTTTTTTGAATCGCTAATTACAAATCTGAAGTCAGATTTTTAAAATTCTAAATGATAGATTCGATACGGCTGCTATGAGTAAAAATGTTTTGAGATTTCAACTCCTTTCTTGAAAACTTTGATAGACAACCAAAAAATCATATAATTCTATTTAGAAAAAAAAAAATTAATGTTTTCTTAATTCTCATCTCTTAACCGACATTATAAAAAATTTATTGAACGTATTATATAGCCTTTGAAAAATAATTTTTCTTTTTTTTTCCTTATTTTATGTCTATATTGGGAAGTGTAGTTGATAATTTAGCTATTCGCACATACATAAAATATAAATAATTACCGAGTAAAATATATGCCTTAAGACAATATTCATAATAAGAGTCTATGCCAGCGCCGACCCCGGAATCTCTCCGTACCCAATCTCCAGAATTAACATTCAACACAGATCCCATTAAGTCTGTACCACGATGTCTCATTCGCCATAAAACATCCATAGCTTTCTGCGCTTTTTCCTAACGAAACAATACTTGTCATTTTAGTTTTCAGCAATCATTATCAATTGTATACAAAGGGTGCGTTTCACTTAAAGTTTGCAATGCTCGCGAGTATCATTTCATTTTTATTGTTAGTTCTAGTGTTAACTCATTTTATTTATTATCTTTTAGATTCATTCTTATTGTTTCCAAATATTAACCTTTAGACTGTCGAAAGCTTTAGAAAGCCACTATTGTAGTTCTTGAGTTAAAATATTGCCATTTTTAATGGTATTTTAAATATTAATTATATTAAACACATATGTGTGTACGTTGTCGAAAATATATTAAAAAATATACAAAAAAATTAAAAAATATTAACAAGTAAAAAAAAATTTTTTTGATACATTCCCTGCTTGGAGAGCCACTTTTGTAGCTCTACACAAATCTCGATATTCTGTGCCATGTGTATGTTACTTTTATAAAGAAAAATTTTTAAGAAAAAAAACCACTAACGAAAAAATACCGACAACCTAAAGGTTAAAGGTAAAATAATGCTCGCAAGTATGGCGAACGTTAAATAAAATGCTTCCAAAGTGTAACAGAGCGATAATTTCTTCAGAAAAATGTTTCAGACAAAAGTTTTTTTATTTCAAAGGATGCATAAGATGGTACCATTGATTCATCAACCTTGAGTAGCATCATCAAGATCGGGGCAAGGTCACGTTAAATTTTTTAAATGGAATTTCCCGTTTTACATTGCACATTCTCATAGCTTGTCTCGAAAGCTTTTTAAAATAAAAATTTACAATAAAATATTTTTTCATTAAATACTTGTCAAATTACAAGGCTTGAAAATTATCACCGGCATTAGCATTATCTAAAATGTGAGACCTAAACGGCTAAAACTTCTTAAATGTTATTCAGTATCATGGCCTGGATATCACTTGTCAAGATCAAAACCCCCATTGTTCCTCTTATTTTCATTTTTATATTAAAAATTTATTTTTACATGAAAATGAAGATAAGAAGAATAACTTTCAATGATCTTGATAAATAGTATCCAGATCATGATACTGAACAACATTTAAGAGGTTTTAGCTCGGACACCTTGAGCAACACTAATGCCGGTGATACTCAACATTCGAGCCTTATAATTCGAAAAGTATTTAATATAAAAATATTTTATTAATATTTTGAAATGCTAAGGTAAGTTATGAAAATATGTAATAAAAAATGGAGGGTTTTGTTTAAAAAATTTAATGTAATCTTGCCCTATCTTGATAACAGTACCCAAGGTCAAACTAATGGTATCATCTTATGTCTCCCTCAAAGTAAAAAAATTTTTATCTGAAACATTTTCCAAGAAAATGCATATTTTTTAAGAAATGAGCTTGGTATGATCGCTTTGTTATACCTCGTATATCATGTCATATCCATAGAATAATTTACCTCGAAAATCGGTTCACCTGTTAATCGAGATAAAGCGGCCATTTCTAATATCATACTACCTGCACAAGCAGTGCATGTTTCTCTTGATATTTCCACAGAAACTCCTTTCATGCCATGTTTCAAATTTATCTACACAGAAAATTCGATATACTTAACTGAAATTGAATTTAAGACATTGTATATCTCATTTCTTTCACCGGTAAAGACGTAACAAATTCTTATACAAGAATTATTTTTATAAAATACTTATATAAAGTAAAATTTTTAAATCCTTTTATCTCTAACATTATTTATTATTAATATAACATTAGTTGTTATCATTATGTGATTAATTATCTTTATTCTTCCCTCCTCCTTCTCCTCCTGCTCCTCCTCCTCCTCCTCTCTCTCTCTCTCTCTCTCTCTCTCTCTCTCTCTCTCTCTCAAGTATTGAATTGAAGAAATATTGATAGACTTGAAAAGCTAATATGATTTAATTCTTGCTAATGGAGCACAGCAACTGAGATCACAGAATGCGCAATAGACTGCGCAAAATTGTGAATTGGGTACATTGACGTAATAGATAAGTAGATTAAAGGAACGGATGTAATAAAGATTCGTAACTTTAATGTAACCGTAACGTAAGAAACTTTGTATACGTCTACAATTGCTCATACATTGCTTCATACTTGATCCTACGTGTGTCGTACGACGCTCTGCAACCAACCAGAAAACAGGATTTTGCTTCGTATCATCGATACGAAATAAAATTCTGCTTTTTATTGATTGCAAAACATCGTACAACGTATATCAAATTCAGTGTGAATCCAGCAAAAGCCTGTCTATAATGTAACGTTAACTTAACGAATCGTCTCTAACCTGTGAAGCAATATAATTTTGTTTTCACAAAATTAAATGGAAAACTCAGTTATGCAATGAATGTTCAGCGAATTAAAAATGTAGCACTTATGATTATTAATTTGGTTGCAATATTGCAGAAAAAAAAGAAAATGACTTCAAAAAGAAAATATTGGGTTCGATCAATATTGTTAGAACATAAACAAAAAGTCTTACGATAGTTCGTGTTTCTTGACAGTTTCGTTCTACATTATTTATTCGCTATCCCATCTGTCTCTGACGATACGTGCAAAACTGTAAACATTACTTTAAATGCTTAATTTTGTAAAATATTTCGTATACTGTACTCACGAAAATAAACCATTACATTTTATTCATCAGAGGGAAGATGAATCATTAATTTTTGACCGGTACCATAAACCAAGCTATTCAAGAAGATATTTGAATTTTTTCTCCAACCATCCAATCTCACAGAAGAAAGATACTATCATAGGTTTGGTCAACAAAGCAATATTATTATCTAATGTAGAGAACCATACGGACAACTTAAAATTTATAATTAACATATTATTCAACAACAATTATTCGCTTGATTTCATTTTCAACACCATAAACAAGAGAATCCAAAGCCTCATGAGACAAAAAATAGAAGTGCCGGTCCACTCTGATAACACGAATTCACCTGACAGAACTTCTTGGTTCATAGTTCCATATATACCTTCTGTTACCAAAAAATTCAAACAGTTTAATAGTAAAGACACGAAAGTTGGATTTTACAGCACCAATAAATTACAAAAATTTATAAAGGTTCAAAAAGATCCATGCTCCCATTCATCTAAGACCAATGTAGTTTACAAGGTCACTGTGCCGCTACATATATAGGACAGACAGATAGACAATTGAAAATTAGAATTGCCGAACATCGCAACCACATCCAGTGGAATATCCAGTCTATGTACACTCTGTGATAATTGAACACAGGTTACAGGGACATGAATTCGATTGGAACATTATAATTCTTGATGAAGAACCGTGCTATAACAAACGCCTAATTTCGAAAAAATGTTAAATATTAAAAAACAGAAAAACAGTCTTAATTTATAGACTGATACAGAAGGGCTCATAAAGCTTACATACAGATTATAAACAAAATATGACTTCGCAGAAATATATAAATCAGAATCAGACCTTTACAGCAATCACAACAAAAAGTCTGTACATCTTTAATTTCTATAAATTTGACTAATAATTGAGACAATCTCATATTTATTAATTAATTTTTTAATCACAGTAAGTGATATAACCAATCTAATGTGCATTCCTACTTTATGTGATAAAACAAATTTTAGACCATCACGGTGAGTTCTATAATAACGAATTTGTTTACTAAACTTGTTCTAAAATATTGTTTCCTAATAGATCTTCGTGGAATCTAACAATCGGTCATTCAATTACTTGTGAGTATTTTTGTTTTTACTCTCCATCCATCGTGTCACAACTGACTCACATATAACAGGAATTAGATATAATATATATGAATATTTTACTTCATTTTTATTCCGTTTTATTTTAAGATTAAATATTGACTATTTAAAATGTATTTGACTTTCTAGTTTTTTATTCACTGCGATATTAGAACATCTGATGATGGCACAATTATGATGCGGAAATATGTTATGTTTTCTTACTAAAATTAAATTTATATTCCATAGCAATTTTTTAAGAATATAATAATTTAAAAGATTATTACATATTTCTTTGTTTAGATTTGATTCGAATTTGCTCTTCTATTTGCTTGATACTTTTATTCATCAGAGTCACCTCGTAATTACTATTACTTAATCCTTATCGATCGATTAAAAAATTGGATGTATTATTACCTTCTATAGAAAATTAATACAGTATGTTTACACTTTTGCTCGTCACTATATATGTATATTTAGGTAAATTAAACATAACGCTAGATTAAATTCCAAAAATAAAAATATATACATATACAGGATGTTTGGAAAGTAATGATATATTTTTCGCATAGGGGCAGAATGGACTAAACTGAGAAGAAAAGTCCTCTACCATTTTACAATTTTCGCAATGATTAACCAGTTACTAACTTATGAAAATAGGCCAAATTCACCCAGACAGCTTTAGCATTACGCAAGGTGTCCGCGACCGACAGCTAAAACTCTTAACTACTCTAAACTACTCTTGTTGTTCGGGATCATGTCTTGGATAACATTTGTCAAAATCAAGGCTATTGGAGATTATTCTTCTTATTTTCATTTTTGCACTAAAAATTCATTTTTATGTAAAAATGAAAATAAGTACAATCTCCATTGGTTTTGATCTTGATAAATGATATCCAAGACATGATCCTGAACAGCATTCAAGAGGTTTAGCCGTCGATCGAATATCTTGGGTAATGCTAATGCTGGCGGTACTGTAACTTCCAAGCATTATAATTCGAAAAGTACTTTATAAAAAAATATTTTATTATAATATTTTGAAAAACTCTCGAGGTGCTATAAGAATATGCAATAAAAAATAGAAGGTTCCATTAAAAAAATTCAAAATGACATTGCTCTGATTTTGGTGACGCCACCTAAGATCAGATTGATCAGATCATTGAATAGATCATTTAGAACTCCACAACTTTTGTCAGAAACGTTTTTTTCTAAAATGCTCTGTTTCCGAAATGGTAAGGGTTGTACGGGTGATCTCAGACACTCTGTATAATTAAAATTTTTTTCTTTTTTAGTATGTAAAGGAAAGACCTGCATGTTATTAATAGAGTAATAGCGTTAATATTAATAAAAAGGAGGAAGAAAGAAAAGAGAAAAATCATTTTTTTTAGCGTTAGATTGAAATTCTTATAAAAAATATACATATGTACTTTTTATAAATTTTCATAAATAAGGCAATAGAAAAAATAAAAAAATAAAATATTTTGATAGATATATAGATAGAGTGTCAAGCCAAAGTCAAGCAGCAATTCGGAGTCAGTATAAAAGTTTTTTGTTATATATTATATCAAAATCAAGGACACAGAACATCTTAACACAGTCAACGCAGAGATAATGAAAAATAACTTTTGTATATCATTTAGAATTTATATCATTGTGTCTTCGAATGGAACAACTTTCAAAAATCTTAATTTCTCATTATCGTTAACTTATTATATATTATATTCATAATCATGTGTGATAAATTAACTTTACGATTTTATTTCTATTTTTTAAATACATGCTGAAAAAGGATCTGTGGTCACAAAACGTACCTTTAGATTTTTAATAAATATATTGATTAAAAAATTGTTCTATATCTTTATACAAGTTCGATCACTGATCGAATTTTGGGTAGTTCCAAAAGAATGAACTTCGATTTTATTGTCGATTGGTATACTACTGTATTTTGGTACCGATTACAAATATGATCATGAAAATTACAAGGTCATTTTGACGATCATTTGGCGCGCAATCTGGCTAAGTGTCACTACTCAACATGCTTGTCAGTATGTGCTGTCATGCTGAAAGATGGATAGGACGTACAATTTCTTTACAACTTTTCACCTGAAGGGACTCCCACCCCACTTATCTCTCTGCTTAGGGGCACACGACTTCTACGCGAAACAATTTCTATTCCATCTCCTTCCCTGCTTAGGGGCGCACGACTTTTCACGTAAAACGCGCAAAAAATGAGAAAAAAATCTTTTTTTTAAATATTATTATTTGACTTTGAAAATAACCTTGTCGGCAATTTTCATGATCACATTCATAATCAGGGCATCAAAATACAGTAGTATGTCAATCGACAAGAAAATCGGGGGATCATATAATTTTTTTACCAAGTTACACGCGAATTAAATAAAAGAGCGTTCTGATTTTGATTGCTCATAACTCCATTAAAAATCATCGCACTGTATTTAATAAAACAGATTTTTAAAGCTGAAACATTGCTCTATCAAGTGATGTAATTGCCAATTTTTTAAAAATAGAATATATATACATTTGAGCTAAAAATGTGATATACTGTCCTTTTTCTATTGCGCAATGATTATAAGGATAGTAATATCACATTTTTAACTCAATCTATATATTTTACATTTAAAGATTAGCATAATACTATTCGATAGAGCAACGTTTCAGTTTTAAGAATCTGTTTTTTTTTTAAGTACAATGATTTTTAATGGAATTATAAGCAATCAAAGTCAAAATGCTTTTTACTTAACTCGCGAATAATTCAAGAACAAAACATAGTAAAAACTTTTATCGTAGAAATTTTTAAAAAACGATTTTGTAAGAAAAACTCCAAACTTTCACAATATAGATTAGTCGGACATTTCCGCAAATTTTTTTTGACACATGACAGACCCACAAAATGAGAAGAAAAATTTCCCCTTTTTTTAAATCGTAGTTTTCTATATATAAAAATTACAAAATTCACATAAATTCAAAAAATATAGTAACCATTTGAAAATAAAGATTTCGAGCTTTAAAATACTTTTGTTGAATTTTAATTTTGAACATTTTTAACAAAGATATTGTATATATAAAATTTTGTGAGCTAACAAAATACCACAGAACTTTTCCTTCAACCCAATATTTAGATCTGTTTTGTGTGGTTGAGCTAGTGTACACTTTTGGAACTTAAAGTAAGACAGATATATGATTGATATTTATCGAAAGCGAGAAAGAGTTTTAGATCAGTCTAGTGCAGGAACAGAAAACAAACCAATTGTTATGTTTTAATTAGTTTGCGACAAACTGAATATCAATAATGGTCGAAATTGTAAGACGCAGACTTATTTCGAAAGAATTGCTAATGACAACCATTGAATATATCGTTACAAACGTCTTAACAATTTTCAGATATTAATGAAGACTCGAAAATGCCATCCGTGACAGCCTAAAAAGCGTTAATAAAGACTCGAATTAAACACACGCTTGATTTATGGTACGCTTTAATATGTATTTTTTTAAATAATCTTTTAAGCTTCTGTGAAGACAATACTGATTTATTGGGATATGCCGAGAATCTCTCACAATATGTCTACTAATATTAATTTATATTCGCACAAAAAAAGTCTGTTCATATTTTAATCACCTTTGCATGCACGCACATGTGCACAATTGCATGTATTATATAAACTGTATATGGCAATATATACTGCCAGTATTGAAAATCTATAGTTTACGTTACGCATACTACAGATTTTTAGTATTGACAATGCATATCGGAATGTGGCCATGATATAAAAAATATTCGAAAAATTGTACAAAATGTGCGCGCGACGTGCGCACGCACACATAATTCTATTATAAGTAGAATTCCATCCTAAATTCTTATACAAATTATACATTGTTTAAAGTCAACTTTAGATGCGAAAATATAGAAGCATGATTAAAGATGTAAAAAATAGTATTTTTTACTTTGGAGAAAAATATCGATTAAAAAACTAGTTTTTTTACTATAAATAAGGATATTTTTTACCAAATAACATAAAATTCACGAAAAAACATAATTTCAATATAATTATTTGAATAATAGATATTTTATATTTAAAAGCTAAATAAATAATGTTATTAATACTTTATATAATAGATACTATTTTGTTGCACATATTAGTTATAACTGTATTCTTATATTTTAATTATTTTGTATTCAATATTTTATTTATTTTGAGACATCTCAATATTGATTCAAAAGTAATTGAAGATTTGATGAACGTTTTCTCACAAATTTAAATTTAGAATATGTATAAGTACAATTACAATATATGACAAAAACAGTGTTAATTACTCTAATAAAGTATTATTTGTATTAATAATACATGGAATACTTACTTAACCTTTAAAATTGAAGTATAAAACATCATTCAAATAATAGTGAAAGATAAGGTATATTTATAGCCATCAACATTATATTATATTAATCATTATACTATATTTTAACTTTTTAACTATTTTTATACAGAAATATTACGGATAAGTGCAAAAACTAAATTTTGGGACAATAGTACAGCATACTATTCGAAATGCTAAAAAAAATATCTGAGTAAAAAACTGTCAAAACCAAAAGAAACCATTATTTCCCGAGTTTTTTACCTTAAAATTCTAGAATTTTTCCGTCGTTTACATCTCTAAGCATGATAATATTCAAACATATATTCCATATTGTGTATTAAACTTACTTTGCCATACGGTATTCCAGTAGTTGTGTTAAATGCAGGTAAAAATCTGTAACCTAAATCTTTAGCCAAATCTAGGAGTTCTCCTCTATACCATGGCATTATATCAGCTCTCTGTTGCAGATATTCAGCTAATATATGACCACTAAGAAGACCTCTGTAAAAAACAAGTTATATGACATTTAATATGAAAATTAAACATCTTATAATAAAAAATGATTATAAGTACATTTTTTAATAAATATATGTAAATGATTTTGACTGAAATGGTTTCACTCACCCAAGCATTCTAATATTCGTTTCAAATAAAGAAACAATAACATCTGTATCAAAGCTTACATCTCTAGCAACAAGTTTGACTGCATTCTCGAATTCTTCCAAATCTCCCAGTACCTAATATATAACATAAAACACTAATAAATAGAATTTTTTTTACGTGATACATTATACATAGTACTTGTTAGCTTACCACTAATGTATCCAGTGTGTCTACCAAAGTAAGTGAAAAACTGCAAATTATAATACACAAATTAAGTTATAATTCTAGCAACGTAAATAATTATCAAAAATCTAACAAAAGCATAATGCTCACAAAAATACAATCACAATTTTATATAGATATTTTTATGTACAATTTAGCTTCTTACTTTCCCAATGTAGAATCTATATCACCCCTATTAGGTAGAGAGCCTCTATATCGTCCTTTACAGCTTAATGGCATCAGTTCATCAGCAGGATATGCATTATCCTTGAAAAAATTATAGCAACATTTTCAGGTGCTATATATGCTGATTCTTATATTTAAAATTAAAAGAGATGCATCAGATATCCGGTATCATTGTCTAGCCCTATCCAGCCAGATAGCCGGATATCATTAGTATCTGGTAATATATCAGATTGAAAATTTATATTGATAGTTTGCGTCACTAATGCAGAATTTTATTCTTTTCAGCTAAATTTCTTACAGTTTATCTTTCCTCTTTTTCATTTCATATTAAGAATAAAACTATTATCGCTATTTTTCCCTTATTACCCTTTTTTGGAAGTTATTTTCCAGATATCGAAGAAATTATCTGATATCTAATTGGTTCAATCGGATAATTGATGACTCTACTGGATATCCGATCAAATATCAGATATCTAGTAATTTTATGATCCAGTGCATCCCTATTTAAGATTGTCTTAAACAAACTCAAGACAGTCATGAACCAATTAGAGCCATGTTATCATCTCAAGACATTACTTAAAATAGTCTTAAAATAAGAACAGAATGAATATCAGCCTTCAAGTATTTTTGTTTACATGAATCTAGATAAGAATATTTTTTTTTGTTCAAAATAAAAAAATATAAAATACTAATTTTTACAAAATTCTTTTATCTCAAATACAGACTTAAGCTATTTCTAACTTATATGTATATGCATGAGATATATTACATTTGTCAACCAAAAATTATTAATCATATAAACCAAAAATGCAATATATCAAATATTACTTACCATATATGCATTGTATGCATGATAAAACATATCCCTTGCTTCTTCTCTATAAAATGTAATAATACAAAATATATAATCCATAAAATAAAGATTTAATCATAAAGTATAAGTAAATAATATATA